GGAGACGCCGCTGCCTGCCGGATGTGCCTCTTCTCCTCACTCTGCTGGACTCCAGCGAGGGGCACGTTTTGGGTGTTGGTGATGCCTGCGGGCTGCGGAGGGACAGCAGGGATGGTCCTCTCCACCGTGCACTGGTTGGGGCGAGGGAGGCCTAGGGAGGGATCGCTCGCTCACCCGGACGTGTATCTGCGAAGGGGTCTCAGAGGTGCTCAGCCACCCTCACCGACCCAGAGGCTGAAGGGAAGCGGCTGCTTTGCAGAGTCTATGCCCTAAGGCTATTTCCTTGCTATACGTATTATAAGTTCTTTTTCTGAAAAAAAAAATTTAGTGTTGAAAAAAAAAAAAAAGGAAAAGAAAAGGTTTTAGGGGCAGGGGAGCTAGCTCAGAGGCATAAGCACCTACCTGGCAAGCACAAGGTCCCGAGTTCGGTCCCCCCAAAAGTCTAGGGGAAGCAACGAACGGAGAAAGTAGTACAAGGGACGCATATAGAAAAGAGGACACACAGACAATGCGTAAAGAACATGTAGTCAAAAAAAAAAAAAGAAAAGAAAAAAGGGACCGGGGAGATGGCTCAGTAGGATAAGTGCTTGACTGGCAAACGCAAGGATCTGAGTTCAATCCCTGGTTCCGCAAAAAAAAATGTAGTCACCCACAATGGACTTCTCTGCTATTCAGAAGGATGAACTGGACTCACTGAGAGCGACAGGAGTGTACATACCGACCAAAAGGTAAATTGGATCAGACCAGCGCACTATCTCCTCCCACGGCAGGCTCCGCCCCTCTCCCGCAGGCCACGCCCCTCCACGACAGCACAGCTCTGGGCAGGCCCCTCCCCCTTCCAGGACCCGCCCCTCTGCCTCAACCAGAAACTGAGGTTTGCAGTCCTTGCGCCCCCTCCATGAGGCCCCGCCCTCCAAAGCTCCGCCCTTCTACCGTTGACCCCGCCCCACCCAGGCCCCGCCCCCGCCCGTGTACACCCGCCCTTCCGAGGCCCCGCCCCCTCCTACGTCACCTGCAGGCAGGCGCTGCCCCCATGTAGCACAATTTCCCACAGCAGCACCAAGGCTTCAATTCCGCCACCCCACTGTGATGTCTGCGGCGCAGACCCAGGCCTCCTGTGCCTACCATACTCGACCCCCACCGTGCACCCCAACAACGAAGCCCGAAGCCCGTTGCGGGACGCTGATTCTAACTCTGCCTGGCACTCCATCCTCGCCCAATATGAACCCTCACCCTAAACCCTAAACCCTGACTGTCCCCCTCACCATGAACCCTGCCCTCCCCTACCACCCCCCAGCCCCGCCCTAATGCCAACACAGGAGCGCTGACCTCGCCCTGACCCCAAGACTCCAAAGGGCAACTCCAGCTAGTCCCGCCCCTCCTCCTGATGGGCAGGCGCCCGGGACCCTAGGCAGCCAATCGGGGTGGAGTGGGGCGGGATCTTGGGCAGGGCGGGAAAATACGGGCCCGCCCACAGCCCTGCACTCGCTTTGCCCGCGTGCCAGACAGGCCTTGCCCACGCGCTTGACACACTTGGCCGCCCTCAGCCACGCCCACAGGGACTCGCCCGCCGATTGGCCCGTCAGTGTGGGTCTCTGCTCTGATTGGCTGCGTCTCGCCCGCTGGGCGGTGACTTCGGCTGGCTGAGGGGTCCGGCCTGGAGCTGGAGGAGGCGCTGGCCGCAGCCCGACGGACCCGCTCGCCGGTGCGTGAGCAGCCGCGCGGCCCTCAGCGAGCCTCCGCGCCCCAGCCCGAGAGCCTCAACCCCCTGAGGGGACCCCAAGGCCCGGCCCTTCCCTCAGCCCGAGGCGCCCCAAGCCCTGTCCGGGGAGCCCCGCACGCTCCGGCAAGACCCTGCTCCTGGGGCGCCCCGTCTGTGGGCGGCGGCGCCGGCTCCCCGGACATCCCCCACGCGGACCCCAGGTCGGCGGCCCGTCACCCCAAATGTCCCCTCAGCCTGGGGGGGGGTCCCCGGCGCCCGCACAGGCCGAGCCCGCACGCCCGGGCCCCGCTCCTCTGCTGAGGGACCCCGCCCAGCCCGAGCCACAGTGCGCCCCCGGGGAGCCCCGGGGACCCCGATACCCCGCCCGCGACGCTGCCCACCCGCGAGCCCCGCCTTCCTCAGCGCGGCCGAGCGCCCCCCGCCTGCACACCCCTCCCCTACCGCCCCCCGCCGCCCCCGGCACCCCACTAGGGCTCCCCGGGAGGGGAAGCTGGGCCTCAGGACCCGGTCGGCCAGCTCAGGGGGTTGGAACCGGCGGCGGGGAGGGCCGGATGGGGGGTGCGGTTGGGGTTGGGGTTGGTTTCAGACCAGGTTTGGGGTGCTTCAGGGTGGGGGTTCGTTTTACAGTCTGGGATTGGCGTTTGCTTAGTGTTTGGGACGGGCTGCGGCTGGCGTTGGAGTTGGGGAGAACCCCAGGGAAGCCTTGGGGTGAGCTCTAGGGTTAGGTTCGGGGTCGGGTCCGACGCGGGTTAAGGTTCCTTCAGGTTGGGGTCCGTGCAGGCCGCTCCCCTCCTCCACAGGCCTGGGCACTATGCTACTGCGCATGTGCAAGGCCCGCCTTCTCCCTGTGGCCCCTCCCCCATGTCCAGGCCCCGCCCCTGCCCAGGCTCCACCCACCTCTCCCGCCTTCTCCCTGTGGCCCCTCCCTCATCGCCAGGCCCCGCCCTGCACCAGACTCCACCCACCGCTCCCGCCCGACTCCCTTGAGGCCCCTCCCCATCTCTAGGCCACGCCCCTCCCAAGACTCCACCCACCTCCCCGCCTTTCTCGCTGAAGGCCCCTCCTGTCATCTCCAGGCCCCACCCTTCCCTAGACTCCACCCACCATTCCTGCCCTTCTCCCTTGAGGCTCCTCCCCTCTTCAGGCCCCGCCCCACCCAGACTCCACCTACCACTCCCCTCATGGCCAGGACCCTACCTTCCCAGACTCCACCCACCACTCCCACCCTTCTCTCTGAATGTCCTTCACCTCATCCCAGGCCCCGCCCATAAACCCCCCACTCCAGCCACTACTCCCGCCCATTTCTTCAATGGCCACCCTCCCATGTTCCACCTACCATCCCCTCCTTCTCCCTTTAGGCTGCGCCTCTTCTCCCTTCAGGCCCCGCCCATCCCTCTAGTCCCACATTATTATTGTTTTTTTTTTTTTCTGGTGGAACCGGGGATTGAATTTAGGCCTTTCTGCTTGTCAGGGAAGCGCTTATTCCACTGAGCCATCTCCCCAGCCCCAAGTCCCACACTAGTTTGCACACATGCACAAGCCCCCCAGCCATGCCCAGCTTCGCCAGCCGTCCCTACCTTCTCCCCACAAGCGCTGCCCCTCCACTCAGGCCCACACCATTCTGGACACAGACCCAGAACCCCTCTCTACATGCACTCCACGAAGCCCCCCCCCTCCAGAGAACCACCCTATTCCTAAGGGCCCATCTCTCCTCCTGCAAACTCCGCCCTTCCCAGGCCTATACCTCTAACCTGCAGGTAGGCCCCATACCCCATTTAGTACCCCACTTCCCTGCTGTGCTGTCCCCTGTATTCTCAGATCCAGGCCTGTCTCCCCAACTTCGATCCCTACTCTGTGTCCCAATTACGAACGCTGTCACCTGAATCCTGATCTTGACTCTGCCCTGCCCTGCCCTGCCCTAGAACTACACCCAGTGGGAACCCTCACTCTAAAACCAAAACCCAGACTCTCCCTCACCATGAACCTTCACCCTAATCCAAATTTCCTCTACCCCCAGCCTAATGCCAATCTCAGCCCTAACCTCTCCCTGACCCCAAGGCCTGAGCTCCAGGCAACTCCAGCCAGCACGGCCAGGCTCCTTTTCCTGACAGACACCTTAGACAGCCAAAGGGGGAAGGGAGGCGGGCCATCGCTCAAGGGAGTTGGGGTGGCAGGCCATGCTCCCACAGCAGAACCCCACCAGGGTTGTACAGGAGTCTGGCATGCTTGGCTCCACCTGCTGCACGCCCCCTCTGGGGTTCTGAGGCCAATTTGGGCAGTGTGGGTCTCTGCTCTGGTTGGCTGCGTCTAGGCTGTGCAGCTTAGCGACTTCTGAAGGGCTGAATTGTCCCAGTCCAGCAGCTCAGGACAGCTGCACCCCGACAGGACTGGCTTGGTGGTGCCCGAGAAGCCTCGCAGCCCTTACCTAGAATCTCTTGTCTCCGCCCATCCCTCCAAACCTTCAGTTCTTCAGCCCCCAAAGCCCCCAACTGCCCTCACCCTAAGGGACCCCAACCCTGGCCCCCCAAAGGAAGCTCCAAAGCTCTGATGTCCAGAAAAACTCCTCTCCTTGGCCCCAACTCTCTCATCCCGAAGCACCCCAAGTCCTTTCCTTGAGCACACATGCTGTGGCCCAAAAGACCCCACTTCCATGGGGTCAGGGAGATGGCTCAGTGGAACAAGCGCTTCCCTGGCAAGCGCAAGGGCCTGAGTTCAATCCCAGGTTCCAAAAAAAAAAAAAAGACCCCACTTCCCTCAGCCAGAGCACCCTGAAACCTCTGTGTGTTGAGTTAGGGTTGGGATGAGGCCTAGGGGTTTAGGGTTGCGCTTAGGTTCAGTTTTTGTTTTGTTTTGTTTTGTTTTTTAAATTTTATTTATTTGTGTGTGTGTGTGTGTGTGTGTGTGTGTGTGGCCAGCTCAGCCCACCAGGGGGCGGGGCTGGCTGGCATGTGGTGCTGGGGGATTGAACCGCGGTCCCTGTACTTTGCTAAGCTTGTTCTAAGTAGGTGCTTTAGACCACTGAGCCATCTCACCAGCCCTAGGTTCAGTTTTGGGGAGTGTTTTAGGTTAAGTTTGGATTCTGGTTAGAGGGGGGCTAGGGTGGGGATAAGATTGGGGTGAGCACTAGGGTTAGGGTTGTTTCAGGGCTAGGGTTGGGCTTAGGTTTGGGGAGAAGGTTTGGGCTGGGGTCAGGGTTGGAAGGGTTTGATTAGGGATAGGTGAGGTCTAGACTTGGGGCTGTGTTCATGTTTGGGGCAATGGTTGGGTTAGATTGAAGTTGAGTTGAGGTGAGGGTCAGTTTAGGTTAGGGTTGTGGTGAGGGTGAGGGTTTGGGTTGGATGGGGCTTCAGGTAGGCTTGAGGTTGGGGTTGGGGAGAGGCCTAGGCTTAGGTAGGATAGGGTTCCAGCGAGACCTAAGGTTAGTTTTGGGGTCAGCTTTGGTTAGGGTTAGGGGCAAGCTTAGTCTTAAGGTTTGATGTCAGGGACTCGGTTTGCGTCTCTATGACTTCGCTGGACTCTATGTATCTTTCGAAAGGGTAGAACCCTGACCCCAAACCTTGCTGGAGGGCTCCTGTCCCTGATTCCCTCGGCACTCACCTCCGAGGTCCCTGATTCCCTCAGCGCTCATCTCCGAGGTCCCCCTGCTGCAGGCCCACGTGGAAGGCCTCCTCCAGCGCCATCTCCTGCAGGGCCGCCCTGCCCTACCCGCTGTCCAGGCACCATGAGCGCCCCCAGTTCCTCGGAGGACAGCTCAGAGGAGGACACCGCAGGATCTGCGTCGAGCCCCGAGGTGGATGGAGAGAGCGGAAGGGGATGCCAGACCTGCGAGGTCGGTACAGGGAGGTGGGGATGCGCCCCTGGGATGGGGGGCTCAGTCCCTGGCCCTGGGAAGAAGTGGCCTCAAGCCACAGCTGCTGACAGCATAGAGCTCGGCCATCCCTCCGCCCAGGTCACAGTGTGTGGCGGGAGGGACTGTCTGCAGGCGACACTGGCTGGGCCCTGCAGCGCCCTGGAGGACTGGGGACGCCATCTGACCTGGGCTAGCCGGTGACACGGAGGCTCTTTCTGCAGGATGCTTTCAAGGACATTTCCAGATACTTCTCCAGGGAGGAATGGGCCGACATGGGAGAGTTTGAGAAAAAACGCTACCGCAATCTGAAAAACAACTACACCACGATGCTTTCTCTAGGTAACAGGGCCTCAGGGCAGACCCGCTCCTGAGGAGCCCGGGCTGCAGGGCAGCTTTGCGGCGGGCTCAGGCAGAGCTGAGCGCTGAGCCAGCCGTGCGGAGACGTCGTGTGCACCCCCAGCCGCTGGCCTCTGTGTCTTTCCTCCCCACTGCCCCTGTCCCTCCTCCCGGGATGTCCTCCGCTTGGTGAGGAAGCTTTGGGCGCTCCCCAGGTCTCAGAGCCCAGCGGCCCGCGTTCATGCGTCGCAGAAGGCGAACCGGCCAGGCCCCGCAGGAGGACTCCGAGGATTCCGACGCAGAATGGACGCCTCGGCGGCGGCAAGGTGAGCCCGCAGGTCGGCACCGGAAGTGAGGGAGACCTGCGCTCCCGAAAGGGCTCAGAGGAAAGGAGACTCGGGGTCTGCTAGCAAACACAGGTGCTCGCAAACGGGGACTGTGACAACTGAGGAGGAGAGGAATGGGGTTGTGTCTCATTTTTAAAGGCTCTGAAAGCGATGCTTCTCAGAGAAAAAAGGCCATGGAGATACTCAGAAACTTGTCCCTCAGCGTGCATGATGCCAGGGGCCTTCACTCCGAGGCTCAGAATTCTCCGTCTCTAGTGAGATTCCCCAGAGTTTGGAGACATTTTCCAAGCAAAGTCTTCATTTCTCATCACCTTTCAGTCAAACGTCCCTGGGTGGCCTCGAGAGGGGAGCAGAGCACATCCTGGAAGGTGAGCACACCCACGGCCTGCCGAGCAGGAGCTCTTCCTCTTCCTGGTGGGCCGCGAGAGGAGGGAGGAGGGAGGAGGGAGGAGGGAGGAGGGAGGA